AATCTCAGGGAAGTAGTTAAGTCTCAATATTTATTTATTTATTTTTTGTGTCTGATTCAGGGGGTTTCTCATCACTTGCTCTCCCATAGATTTCACACAAGGTGAGGTAAATCCTTTTTTAAAGGATAAGTTCATCTTTTGTAACATGTTACACTCATATCCAGGGTGTAACATTTATTATTATACAGGATTTATATAGCGCCAACAGTTTGCTCAGCGCTGTACAAGATAACGGGAGACAACACAGCAACAATACAGTTCAATACAAGAGGGATAGGAGGGCCCTGCTCCTTGGAGCTTACAATCCTGTAACATGTTACTAAATAGGAAGCTCCTGTGCCCTCCTGAGCCCCTGTTGTGACAGCGGGCCAAGAATCTTCTCCCTGCTCTGGCTGTCACATTAAAGAAAACGCGGCTGTGCGGGGCTCCACCCACCCCACTGTGTCACTCATTCACAGTGTTCTATAAATTAGAGAACTACAACTACCGTCAGCCACAATGAATTACCAGGGCAAACATGTGTATGCTCTAGTAGTTTGTGGATTCTTCTTGTCATTCAGTAACTGCCTGCCTGTATGAGGTACGGGCAGACAGCTACACTGAAAGTCTGCAGGAGCCTTGCATTGCACCCGTGATCTGCTGATCATTGGTGCAATGCTTTACAGGCTACTAGGAAAAGAATAAATAAAACATGCACATTTTGTATCTGCAAAAAGAGGTGCATTTATTATTTTTTTTAAAAAGGTGAACTTATCCTTTAAACAGTTGTCACCAGAATTCATGACTCCAGTGGAAGATTTCATGTTTATTCAAAATTTTGGAATTTCCCTCACTTGCAGTCTTGGTGGCATTGCTTACTAGGAAAAAATGGAGAGGGTACACAGAGAACAATAAACCGAAAACCAAGCAGGGGTGTTACCCTTACTTACTCTATTAAACAAAATGTTGGCTTTGCTTTCTATGTATTTACTTATAAAGAACAATTTGTAACTAAATTTGTCATAGGGATCTCCTGTAATACTGTACGTACAAAGGCCAGCCATGCAAATGGAGAAATAAATAAACAGAAAAGATTACTGTGGGGTTTAAAATTTTCTCTGACATTATTATAATAAAAACATTCAGTTAAAAAAACGAACCACAAGTAAATGCATACAGTTCAGTATCTTTTAACCATGTGCAATACAAATTGATATAGAATATGTATAATTTTTTCATTTTTGTGAGGACATCTTTTTTAATATAGACAAGCTTTGTTTGCATAACTTTCATAACTATTTTTTAAATGATTTGTTTTACAGTTTCCTGCTGGGCTTTGGATTTGCTACATAAAGCAAAAAGCAGTGAATTGCTGTTTACCATATCAATCAACTTAATAGAAGCTTTCAACTATCTTCTGAGATCTACATTCCGATTGGTTGCCTTCAGTGCTTTGTGCACTGTAATAATAAAATTTATACCATTACAAATAGTGTGATGACCTGCAAGTTCAACTTCAGTAGTCATTTTTTAAAATTGTGTGTACAGTCACTTTTTTTAAATTTCATGTGGGAATTATTTATGATCTGGTCTTATTCAATATCACAGAGCAAGTAAAATATAATAGACTAACAAAAACAAATGATTTGTGCTTGATGACCATGTGTTTGTATGCACCCTGGTTCTTTTCAGCATAATTTGTCAGACAATGAATATATTTACATATTCTTAAAGTCCAATTCAGCACAAAAATATTTTGTTGCTTAGGGTACAGAAGAGAAAACTGTCGGAATTTTATTTCTGTTTTTCTGCCCATGAGGAGGTTTCTCCTCACTTCCTGTGGCCTTAAGGACAGGAAAGCATGGACAGCAATAAAAATGTTTTTAGACATTCTAACCCTGTATCCTAACATTTCAAGTAACTGCACTAAAAATGTGTTTTGTATTTCTGTGTCCCCATTGGAAAGATTATTCATTACTTCCTGCCCTGACAGAAAGTGAGCAGAAATCTCTCAAAAGAAATGCATACAACAATAAAATCCTGGCATGCACTATAAACCTTCCCTGCTCTTTAAAAAAAAACACAAAAAAAAGGTTTGGAGTCAGGTTTTAAAACAAGCCCTCAGTGAACTCCGTAGCTGCAGGCATTTAGAAAAAATTAATTCTCAAAATTTAATGCAGAAACAGCAGTTCTTCTCAACAGCATAGTTCACTCTGTTCCCTCCTCCCAGATATCCTGTTTACATTAGAGATCAGAAAGCTAGAAGTTTGTGGTGGACATTGAGGATGAATTGTTCCATCGTACATGCAGCTACAGAGGTCAGTGAAAGCTTGTTTAAAAGTTCATTTACTGCTATGTAAAGTGGACCTTGCATAAAAAAACAAGATACACTTAATACGTCTGTACCTTCCTCACCCATACTAAAAAGCATCATACAGGTAAAAAAACTGTAGAGATGAAAGTTAATAAAAATACTCACCTTTAGCCCTGCTTCCTCCTGTGGTGTTTAAATGAAGGGATGCCATCATCTTTCTGGCAAGGTCTCAGAGAATGTTGGGCATCCCAAATCTCACAAGAAAATGCTACTGTTCTGTGCTGGAGCATCACCTCGGAGGATTTTGAGTGGTTAGTATTCCCTATAATTAGGCCACTGCAGGATGGATGGCTAGGGTAAGGACAGTATCACTATCTTTCCCCCCCCCTAATGTTTTACTTTCATGCTGCTATTTAGAATGTGGATCTAAATATATTAAGTGGATCTTGCTTTTACTACAAGGTCTGCTTTAAGAATATGCAAAACCCTGAATGTCTATAGCCTGGCCACAAGTTCACTTTAAGTGGTTAGTCCACCAAAACAGATAGCTCAGTGTTTAATATATTCTGTCAATCTGGATCAGCTACTGGCTTCTTTTACCTATTGGGGTTTTGGTGTACATATTTGTTTATTGTAATACTCTACTGCGCACCTAGGAATATTAGGCATGTTGCAGTAAGGGAAACCTCACTTTTTTATATTTTCCATAACATAAATAATTTAATACCACTCAGTGAGGAGAATTAGCTGCAATCTCTGCAACAGGTGGGAAAACCTAGGAAATCAAGCAGAAGAATCTAGCTAGTGAAAGCAATCATACATTAAAGTGATATATCAAATCCCCTTCATATACAAGCATAGTGTAATACCTGAATTAATATGACATATAATATAATACTGAAATTAATATAACATATAATATATGACACTCATAAATCTCAATATCGAAGTCCATGATCAATAAATTGATTGATAAAGGACTTCAGTATTGAGATTTTTTAGTGTCAGATTATGTATGTTATATTAATTTGATTATGTTATATGTTATTATTATTATTATAATAATAATACAGAATATATATAGCGCCAACAGTTTGCTCAGCGCTTTAGAAAATGAAGGTTGACATTACAGTTACAATACAATTTGGTACAAGAGGAAACAGAGTTATCATAATTTGGGTATTACATTACACTTGTATGTGAAGGGGATTTGATATGTTGCTTGAAGGTATTATTGGTTTCATTAGCTAGCCCTGATATTTTGTGAATATTTTGTAAACATTATTAGGGTGTGTACTTTCATTGGCTGCTGGCTATTTGGTTAGAATGGGAGAGTAGTTGGGGTTCTATAGTACAGTTCTCATTATTATTTATATAAGAATTTCTATACTAGCCTTCCCAAAAGTATAAAGAAGTTGACCCACCTAAATCTGCCAAAAGCCATAGTATCAATTTTAAATGAAATAACTCTTTGTAATTATACATGTCCAGTACAATTCACTACATTTGACTGACATAGCAATTACATTTTTTCAGTGGCAAATTATCATACTTTAATTGGAATAGTTAAAATGCATTTTTGAGTAAGTTCACAAAGATCATCATTACAGCAGGTCAAAAATCAGGGGATTCTATGAGATGTCTACGGAGAAGTTCAGGACATTGAGCCATTTGACATTTGAGCTAAAGATAATGATTTATGAGAAGCAAAGACTGTCAATAGTTAGATATCAATTTCATGTGAAAAATAGCAATTTCAAACCGATATGTTAACTGTTTTAGTGAACAGTTTTTGACTGATAGGTTTGGGACAGGGGTAGTCAGGGCAAGTCATGTCTGTATTATTATAAGCTGTTGGTACATATAGATGGTGAATTAGTCCTGCAGAGTATGAAAATGGCAAACAGTAAATTAAAAATGTTCTTGACACTTGACATCCATGCGTTTGGTCTTAACAAATTTACCTACAGTAACAAAAGAATATATATCTACATATTTATAACTAACACTTTGTTAAGGCACTGCACAACAGTTTGTACACACACCGCCCTGCATACCTGATCTAACAAGGCATTGCTACCTCAATAATATTACCTAAACCATATGTAAAGAAACTATTATTACAAATTTTTACACAAAAATCTTTCTGTACATGATTGTCTCAGTGATGTACATAATTTTGTTTTAAATTACAGTATACATACTTTAGACAAAGACATTTCCAAGTCTCCAGCCCATAGTACCTTGATTTCATATCTGTATGTCAAGCTGCAATGTCCATTTATAAATTAGTTGTAGTCAGTAAACTTCAATTATAGGGCACTATACTAAATGATTTAGCATAGCTGTTTGATTTGCAGTAAAACCTGCCATTCCACTGGCCAACTCCCCAGATTGGAAATTGCGGAGCCTACAAAGTCCCAAGCTCTTTTTGTCTTCCTTTCACAGGTATGAACCATTTATTCCATGGTACAATGTAACATGTCTCTAGAACTCTAAGAAAGGCAAGTGTTCTGATATTGATTAGGCTCATTTTATATCTTCCTAAATCCCATTGCTTCATTTTCCAGCAATATAGTAGACAGAAGATAAGCACTTCTGGTAGGACTTCCATATCTGTATATTGCATTGGGACGCCAACACATCTGGTCTACGTAACCCGTCATGAAGATGGATTTCCTTTTGGATTCAAAGTGCTGTTTTCTTTCTACAAGTATTCAAGTTCCAGGGCATGGTGCAGTGCCATTAAATCTGAGTGGCTTGTTATTCTCCAAAATGGCATTGAATGCTACAATAATAAGAAACAAATAAACAAATAAATAAAGGCTATTCCAGAACCACAATAAATATAATCACAATTTAAGGTCATAATTATAAAGTAATTATAAATAGTTTCAGTTCATTAATGATCTCAATTTAATATAGACTTATTTCTAACATTAAATAGTGACTTAAACATTTTGTTTTGGATTAAAAAGACTCAGTACAGTACTAATGTGTAAGAGAAATATATTTGTTTTTTTTTATCATACATTGATTAAAAATGATCTGGTTAACAATATGCCTGTAGTCAAGACACATTAGTGCAATGCCAGATTCAGAAAAGATCTTTTGTTATAAGTTTAGTTTAGAGAGTGAAAGTGGTCATACGCAGCCCAACCCCCCTTTGGTTACCGTAATATGTCAAGATCTGGGCTTTCTTTGGATTTTTGTGGATCTATCACTTGCTATTAGAAGATATGACTTTAGATGTTAATGTTTAATGGACCTATGTGTTTTGCCTTATGTGAATAATCTAAAAAAGACGCGACAAGGACAAGAAAAAAGATGCAAAGAAAGCATGTGAAGGACATAAAAAGCGGCAAAGCTATTTGTGCTTAATAAATCAGGATTGTCAGCAATTTGTAAACATTTGATTTGTCTGATTATTTACACATTGAATATTTGCAGACTGCAGAACTGTGGAGGTAGTTACATTGGTCAGCAGGTTTCCTGTATAGATGTCAGATAATCACCCAAATTCAGACATAAATTTAAAGATATTTTCACCCTTGGGAACATGTTACATGTTCCATCTGTTTTTAGGGTAGAACACGTAACATGTTCCCATAGCTGCAGCCGAGCTCGCTGCCCCTCCTTCTGACAGATAATATGGGGAGAAGTTTCCCCATACTATCTTTCAGATTTGAAAACAGTGCGGCTGTGCGGCGCTCCGACCACACGGCCCCACCATTCATTCATGGACTTCTGTGAATGAATGAACTGCAAGTCCCGACAGCCTTAGCGCCTGCGGACTTGTATTTTTTATTTAATGAACTACCACCATCTACTGATCGCTGGTGCAATGCTTTCCAGGCTCCTTTGGACAAAAATAATAAATGCACATTTTTTTTACCTGCAAAAAAATGTGCATTTATTATTTTTGTCCAAAAGGTGAACTTATCCTTTAATCAGCAATAAACTTCATTCTGACTACAGGAACACAAGGGAACAAAACCTTGCACCAACAAACACTGCAATCTGTGCAGTAATATCAATCTAATAAAATGTGACACGCACAAAAGGAACCTCGTATATTACTGGATCTTACAACTGCACCTCCAGTAATAAGGTGTATCTCATTCAATGTAACAAGTGCAGCCATGGATATTAAAATGGGGAAGCAGGATATAAATTACAAAAAATAATAAAATAATTCTGTTGATGAACCATACAAGAACATAAGGAAGATGATTACTGCATACCAGTGGGACATAATTTCTCACAACTAGCTGATTCTATCGAACACATGAACCTTTTGGAAAACCTTTGATAATAGTTTGGCAAGACCTCAATTTTCTAAATCACTATCCAACAGTATTAAGTTCATTCTCACCTCTGTAACTCATCCCATTCTGTTGCCCACTCTTCTTATTTTCTGACTAACTTTTATTACCTTGTGGGCATGTGTATATTTTCCCAGAGTTTGTTGTCTTTACATATTTTTCTAAGAATTTTGCCAAATCTTTGTGTATTGTGTCTGCTTTGACTGGGAAGAAAAAAGTAGATTCTAGAAAGCTGATCCTGAAAATTTAAAGTGGTAGTAAAGTCAATGCAAAAAAAGGGCCCCTGCAGGCCAATGGCATATTGTGCTAGTATGTGCCGCATACTAGCACACTATGGCAGACTTACCTGTCCAACAAAACCCTCCAGTGGCTCACTGTCATCGCTGCCAGGGCCTCCATATTCACCTAGTCTTCCTTGCTGTAAAGCATCAGTGCTAATCACTAAAGCTAGCTATGCATGGATCGAAATTTGGCAGGTCAGCAGGAACCAACCAAATTTAGATACTTCTATGACCATTCCTGTTCATGGAAAGCTGAGGTCCTGCTGGAAAATTTCCATTCAATCGGTGCTTGCAGTCAACTGGCTACAGCACTGATCAGTGTATTCTGAAGGCGGGGGAGTCCCACATTCACACTGAATGTGTGAATGGAGGAATCGGTTCAGTTTTTTTGTTCAGCCTCCTGGCTGAATTAAGAAAACTGAACCATGTATGGCCAGCTTAACACATTGTACTATCCCATGCATATGTATCCAGGTTAATGACAACATCAGCAGTTTGATAACAATATATTTACGTGATTGTCTTTTATCAATTGAAATATTCCTGCTTGGTAGTTTATCCATCTATACCTTGTGCAATAATGTGTTTACCTTTTTGGCTCCTTGCTCTTCTTCTACTCCATCTCCTACTACTACATAGACCACTTTCCTGCCAAACCTCTGGACTATCCTCTCAAAGCAGCTTTCTTTACCTATGAACATGAAAGTAATGCAATACATTAAAAAGAATCTTGCATCATATCCCTTGCTAATCAATCCAGATTCTGAAGTCCCTCAGTACATTTGTAGGCCATAACATATGAAATGTTTAACTTTGCTTGCAAGGAGGGAATGGTAGAAATTTCTGAATGTTGTGTCTTTGCAACCTTTGTGTAAGAATATAGTGAACTATAGATATACTACCATGGCAAAAAAACAAAATGTTAACATTTAGCAGTGAATACAGTGTTGAAAGTATTTAAATATATACTGACACAAAATATTTTTTATAATTATGCCAACTATAAAGCTAATTGTCTTCCAGTCCTGCCTTACAGTATAAAATTTGGAGGCAACTGGAGTTACACTTCAGAATGTGAGCTGAACTCTGTTGCTTCAAAAGATTTGATTGTTGTAAATGATTTTATTGTTGTAGAATGCATAGCCTCAAAATTGTCTAAGTGTAATAAGCAGCGATAGATTATAAAATGTGCCTGCCAATGCAGCAGTTACCATCTATAATTTGAAACCATAACAATGTGTAGCTTCTCTTAAAGTCCTCACTAATAACACTGAAAGAGAAAACATGAACTTTGCAAATGTCTGCACTATTTTGCAACTACTTTGCATACAGATATAGTTTGCTGCCTAAATGCAGCGGGCAAGGTAAATAGTAGGACCCCAGATAGTGTCACTTATTATTTTGCTGATTTCTGATATGGACCTAATATATTGACACATTAGTAATACTTTATTTTTAATGAGTCCCTTATGTGATTACATTTTATGCATGCATTATGATTTAATGGAAAAGTCTATCAAAGGGCATCTATAATACTGTGACTGTAAGGCCAGTTTCCATTTTGTTTCTGCTTTCTGCCGCAACTTTCAATTCACTACTCTATTCCATTAAAACTACTTCATCATCGGCATCATCAGCACTTCTTGGAATAATACCAGCTATATCGTACCATGTCACAGTCGTTAATCAAGACATCCTTATTAGTTCTGGAACCTCCATAGTGGGAACCACAGGATAAACAATGGAACAAACTACCCATCTTTAGACTAACTGAGTTAGGAGTTTCTCCAGTGGGCTTCCTTCTGCCAATTCTAACAGCTCCCTTGATACTTCAGGTAGTATATATATACACATCAGCTCTGTAAATTCCCTAGAATTAAATAGTGTATAATTTTTCAAAAAATATAAAAAAATGTTTTTAAAATATTAAAGGTAAGCTTTAGCAAGCAATTTTTGGGGTTTTGATCTGGGATCTTTCCTATTGGGACCCAGAAACCAACAAAAATGTTTATTTCCAGTATAGTGGGGAAAAGATAACACTTTTAATAAGACTTTTAATAATGTACCACCTTCCTGACCTCTGTTCTATAATTTATGTGCATTCGTGACCTTTGTTCTCCTTATTTCATTCACAAGAATGCAAACTGAGAGCATTCTAACAGAGTCACAGATAACAATAAAACATGGACAAATTCTAACTCTTCTCAATCTATTTAAAACTAAAGAAGGCCATGGATTATACCATTTTCTTTACTTCCCCCACGGGTGGAATGAAAGAAAATTGTTCAATTCCTCATCAACACAGTTAATGTGTTTATGGGGGAATGCCTCCCGTGGAGCTATTGTATTCTGCCTGTGGGGAGCTTTCCTGGACAGCAGAAAACAATGATCACTGCTAGCAGCTACAGCCACTGGCAGTAATTGCATACAAAAAATCTGACAGGCTGGTTGTATTGAAGTCAACCAATAGATCGACTTAAAACCAACCAGCCTGCCCATAAATGAATCGTATCTCAGCTGGTTCAGCAGGATTCAGTTGGCAGGTAGGGATGTACTGATACCATTTTTTTAACACCAAGTACGAGTACCGATACTAGGTATTACTGATACCTATTGCAGGCACACACACCCCCACTGCATGGGGAAAAAAATGTTTTCCCGGAGTTCTTAAGATAATGAATGAGCCAGAATTGACATGTGCGCAGTGCAGGCTATGTGTCATCTAATGAGGAACCCCCCCATCCAGTGTGCTAATCACTTCTTGCCACGAGACAGGAAGGGATCTGCATCCCCAATGGGTGTAAATTGGTAGACAATGATGTCCCAGCATTATACTATATGGATTACTTGCTCAGTGTCCTGGAAGCAGGTTGTGCAGGTCAGGGGGCTGGGGGAATTGCTGCTGTCCACGTCAGTTGTCCACACACAGGCTCTGCCTCTGCCCCCACCTCTCCTCCTCCTCCTCCGGATCTTGTTTATTCTCATACCCTGCTCATCCTCCGGCCAGGTGTGTGACAGCAGGGAGCCTTGCGGAATCACTGTGACAGCATGTCTGGGGACTTTACCGGCCCTCTCCCCATCATAGTGCCCTTCCTGTGATACCTTTTGCTGGAGCCGGCCCTGGCTTGGGGGTGCAGGAAGGGAACGGGAAGCTGACAGCTGAAATGTCATTGGTTGTTAAGGATGGGGTGGCCCAAGTCCTTACCGACCTATGAATGCTGGCATTCTTTCTTTTACATTTCAGCTGTCAGTGGGGAATCCCGCTGACAGCTGGAAGAACCAAACCTTAAAATATTGTTTTTTGGTATTGGTGCATTATTTGCATGAATACCAATACTCGTGCAAATGCACAGTATTGGCACCAATACCAGTATTGGTGCAACCCTAATGGCTGCCTTAAGAAAGCAAAGCTTTGTGTGGAGTTAGGCTTTTTATTACATAGAAAACATTTACACATTTATGAAGTACCAATGACCTATCTGCCAACACCAAAGGGTACTTAAAGCTGAAAGCCAGGAATTACATAAAAAACGACCTTGAAGTGTGCCCCCCACCTTGATGCCCATACTTCATTAAGTTTCCATATAAGGTAGTTCCCTTTCAGCGCCAATTGTCTATATTTGTCTGAATGCAGGGCCATTAGCCTGGCATAGTATGTAAGGATGGCAAGAGCCTGCCCACAATCCGGAGCATCAAAGAAAAGAAGTGAGAACCCAAAGCCTGATGGAATAAGACAAAATGTAAGGATATTCCTCTAGCCATAGACTTAACAAGGATTTAACTCTTGCAAAACAGCAGCCCCCACTGCAAGTGTGTTTTTTGTTAAATTCCTGGAGTTTAGCTTTAAGATTACCTGGCATACACCGGCTTCTATAAAGAGCAAGAGGGTACATACATTATCGAAGTTGAAAAACAATACCTTAGTGTGCAAAATTTAATTCATATGTTGTAAGTACTTGTGGCTAATGTTATCTGATTTCCTATACCTACCTATTTTAGTTGCACTATAAATGTTTTCAATGGGAAACACAACTCCTAATCCATACAACAGGACCTTCGCCAATGCTGGTATAAGTTGGGTAGTTGTAACAAGTATATTTACACAATTTGTCCTATTGCAGGAAGAAAAAAGAATTATTCAAAAAGCAGGCAATTATTTAATAATATATCCATAGATAATGTAACGTCTTTGAAGCTAGTGCTGCAAATGAAAAGGAAAATTACCTAGAATGAATTAAGGTGAGGGCTTTCAGTGCAAGTGTTAACCAAGAATCTGTCAAGGCTTCAATCTCAGCCCTCAACTGTAGCCAAGCTTCCCTCTTTGCTGGGCCAAGCAGACCTGTAATAGACAAAAAATATCAGATGAGAAAAATTGCTCATTCTTCAGTTCCTTCTATGAACATTTTTTAAGTTTATGCAAAGAACAAGATCTAAAGAAAAATAACATCCACTTCCTTAAAACTTTATAGTTTGTTTTCTCAAAACTCAAAAATGAAGCTCATGAATAAAATAAAATACCATTACATTAAATATAAGGGGCTGCACTTTGATGTTTGAAATGTGAGTCATTTTTGTTATCCCACAGCAATCTATTATATTTGAAATTCGCTGTAGAAAAAAGGACAGCAAAAGAATGAAAGGAATAAGCTATTTATCTGTATAGGACAACATAGACAGTTCTTATTTTAGAAACTTTGATAGTAAAGTTTGTGATACCTTAAATGATTTACCAAGGAGGAAAGAAGACATGTTAGCTACATACTATTATGACCAGACCTTTTTTGAAACATAATGCCAATTATATGATTTGTATAACTGTAACAATATTACCATGAAACTTGATGAATGCAAACTTTTACTGACCACTTCAACCCACATCTAGAGTTTTTTCTCCTCATGACAGCTTAGGGACTGTTTTTGGAATAAAATGAGCCCAAACAAGTTAATATATATTTTTATGATAATTTGCCTCTTACAGTATGTGATCACCCTGTTCTCTAAAAAGAATTCTTATGTTGAAGTGTTGTTTCTGAAGTTCACTAACCTATGAGAATTCATTGTGTTCACCAAACACTTGAACAAAATAGATTTTTTTTTTGGTCTTTATGTACTTAGGAAATAGTACTTAAGAATAAGAGTTCTATATTGAATAAGGTCATATGTCACATAGAGAAGAACAGTCCACATTTAGGGCTCGTTCACAGCAGGTAGAGAGACCCTGCCTTTCTGTACCTGAAAATTGCAGGGCTCTGCATAGCTACATATAAAACAATTGCCTTCTATGTACCCTGTTCAAACAACAACGCTGCTGTGATGTGATGCGGAAAAATGCACACATGCTGCTTTTTTACCACAATGCGTTCAATGGCACTAGAGACCTGAATGCATTGTACACTTTAATAAGATTTTTTTTTTTAAATTATCAATACAATGCACTGAAGCAGTGCATCGCATTGATTCCTCACTGAACGGGTCCTGAAGTATATGGATAACATCTTTTTTTATCTGCTGACTTAACTGATACCTTCATTGTAATTCTATATGCTTGTATAAGAAATACAGTAGATTAATGCAGTAATAGACAGATACACTATATTGCCAAATGTATTGGGACGCCTGCCTTTACTTTGAACTTTAATGCTATCCCAGTCTTAGTCTTAGTCCGTAGGGTTCAATATTGAGTTGGCTCACCCTTTGCAGCTATAATAGCTTCAACTCTTCTGGGAAGGCTGTCCACAAGGTTTATGAGTGTGTCTATGAGAATGTTTGACTGTCGGGTTGAGGTGCAGGCCAGTCAAGGTTCTCTATCCCAAACTCACTCATCCATGTCTTTATGAACGTTGCTTTGTGCACTGATGCACAGTCATGTTGGAACAGGAAGGGGACATCCCCAAAATGTTCCCACAAAGTTGGGAGCATAAAATTGTCCAAAATGTCTTTGTATGCTGATTTCTTAAGAGTTCTCTTCACTGGAACTAAGGGGCCAAGCCCAACCCCTGAAAAATAACCCCACACCATAATCCTCCCTCCACTAAACTTTACACTTGGCACGCTGCAGTCAGGCAAGTACCATTCTCCTGGCAACTGCCAAACCCAGACACGTCCATCGGATTTCTAGAGAAGCATGATTTGTCACTCAAGAGAACACATCTCCAATGTTCTAGAGTCCAGTGGCAGTGTACTTTACACCACTGCATCCGACGCTTTGCATTGCACTTGGTGATGTAAGGCTTGGATGCAGCTGCTTGGTCATGGAAACCCATTCCATGAAGCTTTCTATGCGCTTTTGTTGTGTTAATCTGAAGGCCACATGAAGTTTGGAGGTCTTTAGCTATTGACTCTGCAGACAGTTGGCGAGTTCTGCGCACGCACTGTGCGCTTCAGCATGTGCTGACCCTGCTCTGTCATTTTACGTGGCCTACCACTTCGTGGCTGAGTTGATGTTGTTCCCAGTTGCTTCCACTTTGTTATAATACTACTAACAGTTGAATTTGGAATATTTGGTAGCAAGGAAATTTCACAGATGGACTTATTGCACAGGTGGCAACCTATCACGGTACCATACTTGAATTCACTGAGCTCCTGATAGCAACCTATTCTTTCACAAATGTTTGTAGAAGCAGTTTGCATGACTAGGTGCTTGATTTCATACACCTGTGGCTATGGAGGTGATTGGAACACCTGAATCCAATGATTTGAAGGGATGTTCCAATACTTTTGGCAATATAGTGTATATACAGGCAATGTAAAGTATACCTGTCATGAGAAAAATGTAGTGGTTGCTATTGCTTGTGTCATTCTAAAAATTGTCTGGCTGTATTTCAGAGATCATAACCAAATATACAGTATATAAATTATAATATAAAGTATATTATGTCATATTGGAGAGACGTCAGACATCTTTGTAGCTAAATTTTGTTCCAGATAGATCAGCGTGTCAAAGTTTTGAAACCAAAGCAGCTTCTGAAAAAAAAGATTACCAGTTGTAGCCCTCATTTCTCTCTAATGGCAGGTTTCCTTTAAGTAAATAGATCAACACATTTAAAGTGTAATTTTACCCTAGAAGTAATGGAATTGTACTAACTAGACATACTACAGGTGCCTTACAGAATATATTGTGCCATGTTTGGTTTTTGTCCATGTTCTGGTTTTCCTTCCATTAGTGCTTATAGCTGCAAGCTAGTTCAGTAACACCATGCAAGTCCCCTTATACTATCTATGTCCTTTGATTTTCAGGAAAAGTGAAAAATGGAAGAGCATTTGTGTTGTTTCTCAGTAAGGCTTTGCAAAGGGGGGTGTCTGAACACTTCTAGCGCCAAATGAGTGTTTATTCAGGGAGAGACTTTGACATTATATGTGCTGAGTGCAAAGCAAAGCTGATCACAGACTTAAATACAAAATGCTGTAAAAACTAGATATGCTCTGAAAATGCCAGATTTATTGTGTTGGTATGTTATTTTCATAACTGGACACTTGTAATTTGCTTTGGTGACTGTGGCCATGTAATTATTATTATTATCATTATTATTATTATTATTTAAATAGCGCCAACAGTTTATGCAGCACTTTGCAATGTGAGGGCAAACATTACAGTTACAATAAAATTCAATACAGGAGGAATCAGAGGGCCCTACTCATTAGAGCTTACAATCCAAAGGGGGGGGGGGGGGGTCAAGTGAAACAAAAGGTAATAACTGTGAGGGGATGAGCTGATGTAGAAAATATAAGTACAGTTGTGAGGTGGAGGCAGGTTAGGCTTCTCTGAAGATAAGTTTTCAGGGATTGCCTAAAAATGACAGAGTAGGAGATAGATAGACAGAATGGGGTAAGAAGTTCCAGAGAAAGGAGAGGCTCAGGAGATGTCTTGAAGGCAAGCATGGGAGGAGATGACAAGGTAATTAGAGAGGAGGAGGTCTTAGGAGGAACAGAGAGAATGATTTGATTGGTATTTTGAGAGCAGGTTAGTGATGTAGCTGGGGGCCAAGTTATGGATGGCTTTATAAGTTATTGTTAGTATTTTGAATTTAATTCCTTGGGTGATTGGCAGCCAGTGGAAGAACTGGAAGAGAGGGGTGGCAGACACTGAACGGTTGGTAAGGTGGTTGTGTCTGGCAGGAGCATTCATGATGGACTGAAGGGGGGGATAGCCTATGTAAAGGTAATCCAGTGAGTTTCAGTAGTTGAGGCTAGACTAGGACCTTTGTGGTGTCATTGGTTAGGAAAGAATGTAGTTTGGAGATGTTGCAGAGGCGGCAAGCTTTGGAAAATGATTGGATGTGAGGCTGAAAGGAGAGTTCAGAGTCCAGGATTACATCTAGCACCCTGGCATGCGGGGATGGGTTCATGGTTGTACCACTGATCTTAACAGAGAAGTCAGGGGAAGGGGCACATGGGGGAGGAAATATTTAGAACTTGGTTTTGGATAGGCTGAGTTTGAGGAAGTGGTATGACATTGGTCAGTAAATTAGTGATGCGTTAGGAGACTGATTTGAAAAAATGAAGGATAGAAAGATAGATTTGGGTGACGTCAGCTTAGAAATTATATTGAAAGCCATGGAAGGCTATCAGCTATCAGCTCAGGGAGGAAGTGTAAATTGAGAATAGGAAAGGTCCCGAACAGAACTCTGGGGGACCCCTGTGAGGAAAGCAAATGGAGACGAGGAATTAGTATTGTAAGTGACACTGGTGGGATAGGCAGGATGTGAATAATCGAAGAAGTCACAGAAACTAAAGGAGTAAACTTTTTTAAGGAGGAGGGAGTGGTCAACCGTATCAAAAGCAGCCAAAAGGTCCTGAAGAAGGAGTACAGAATAGTGTTCATTGTTTTTTTTCTGTTAGTAAATTGTTTTTGAGTTTTAGTAGAGCAGTTTCTGTGGAGTGTTGAGGGAGAAATCCAGACTGAAGGGGATCAAGAAGGTTATTCTTAATGAGGTGGTCACTCAATTAGTTGTAGACCAGACATTCAAGGAGTTTGGAGGAAAAGGGGAGCATGGAGATGGGGTGTAGGTTGTTAAGGTTGGTGGGGTCCAAGGAAGGCTTTTGAAGTATGGGTGTGTCTAGTGCATGTTTTAGATAGTTGGGGAAGGTGCCAGAAGAGAGGGAGAGATTGAAGATGTGAATTAGAGAGTGTTGGATAGAGTCAGAGAGTGTAGGATAGAGCCAGAGGGCAACCAAAGTATTTGAGAGGCAATAGGGTCCAGTTGGTTAGGTGGGCATTAGAAAAAAGTTTAGCAACCTCGTCTATAGTAGCAGGGTTGAATAAGGGAAGTGTTGGGTGTAACTGTGGACATGGGGAGTTAAGTGGGGGGATAACTTTAGAGTTGAAATTTCATCATGAATTGTATCAAGTGATTGGCAATCTCCTGGACAGTAAGTTAATGGGTGGTGGCAGTGGAGGAGGAAGTACAGAGTTAAAGGTAGAGAAGAATTGACGGGGACTGGATGAGAAGGTGTTAACGAGAGTGATAAAATAAGTATGCTTGACAGTGTGGAGGTAAGAATTGTATTTTTGGATGACAGATTTATATTGGTTGAAGTCTTTGTGAGACTTAGTCTTACACCACAGATGCTCAAGAACGCGGCTATGTGTTTTGAAACGTCTGGTGTCATCTGTTTGCCAGGGTTGTGGGGGTTGGGGCTTGATTCTGTGTGTAGTGAGAGGGCCGAGCTCATCCAGAGAGGATGACAGGGATCTATTTTAGACAGAAGTAGCTAGATTGGAGCAGGACAGGGGTGAGATTTTATCATAGAGGTGGTCAGTAGCAGAATAGAGAAGAGAAGGGTTAAAATGGCAAAGGTTTCTATGGGTAATTGTTAGGCGGTTGGAGGGAGAGGTGGTGGAAGACAAGGAAAGAGTGAAACTAATGCGGTGGTGACCAGAGAGAGGAAAAGGTTTGTTGGAAAGGTTGCATGGAGTGCATAAGTAGGAGAATACAAGGTTGAGGGTGTTGCCATCAGAGTAAGTGGAAGCATGTACCAATTCCTTCTAAGAAGTTTAGAAGTAGCAGGAGTGTTAGTATCACAGGGATGTTTAAGTTGCCGAGAATGATTGTGGGAATTTCAGAAGAGAGAAAGTAGGGTAGGCAGGCAGAGAAGTCTTCAAAGACTTTTGAGTAAGCCAGTCAGATCATATGGAGGTTTGTGTTTTTAAGACAACCATGTAACATGAAGAACAGCAGTTTATAAATGGAAAATTGGAAATTAGTGCCTGGTTAGCTCGGTTTTTAGTCAACTAGGACTAAAACAATGTGAGGGTTTCTCCAGACAGAATGTGTGATGAAAATTACGTATATAATGGATTTCAGTTGGTTCTTTCATGGTAGCTTTTAAGTGTAGATTCAAAGCTGAACTCCAGGTAATTTGATACATACTAAAAATACAAAAATGTGAAATTCTGTTAGACCAATTTTGCATTCTAGGCAACCCTGACAGAAGTGTGTGGGCACAATTGTGCTAGTTAAGTAGACTCTGACTAGGTTATGGATTCTGCTAAATATATATATATTTAAGTATACCAGCCACTATAACAGTATGTCCACTCACCATAACCTTATGATCACTCACATAATATTGAGTAAGTTCCTCTTTTGCCATCAAAACAGCCCTGACACATAGAGTCATGGACTTCATTAGTTAAAGCATTACCACTGGCTTGTCTAGTAATGTTCATGCACAATGCCATCCACATGATGAAAAAATTATGTGATTCGTTGGACCAGGTCACCTTTTTCTATTGCTACGTGGTCCAGTTCTGTTTCCCACATGCCTATTTTAGGCACTTTTAGTTGTGGACAGGGGTCAACATGGGCACCCTGACCAGTCCATGGATGCACAGCCCCGATACACAACAAAGTGCAGTGCATTGGCTTTTTCAGTAATTTTTGAGCTACAGTAGCTCTTCTACTGGATTGGGCTACATGGGACAGGCTTCATTCCCCATGTGCATCAATGAGCCTTGGCTGCTCATAACAAGTTTCCTATGTTTGACCACTTTTGGTAGATCCTGACCACTTCAGACCGTGATCATCCCACAATATTCCACAAGAGCTACAGACATTACAATTTGGCCCTTGCTAAAGTTACTCAAATATTTACGCTTGCCCATTTTTCCTGCTTTCAACACATCAAATTCAGGGACAATATGGTCACTTGCTGCTGATCCCACCCACTTTCAGGTGCAATTGTAACAAGATAATTAATGTTATATATATTGCCATAAATATTTTTGTTACGTAAACTCAGTTTTGCTTAACACTCTGATGCAGCAATAAATTAAAGTAACCTGCTGATATTAACACTAATGCCTCTTGAGTTGCAAGTTTCCATTTTCATGTGAACACTCAATACTGGATATCTTGTATGGTCACTCACCTCCAACATTATTTTTATATGTGTTGTAAATTTCTTTTACTCTTCTATAACGAAAAGCCAGTTTTCTCATCCAGTCTACACCTCCACGAACTCCAGTCGCTAAACATAGGTTTGCACTGGTTGCTGCAGCTGGGAAGCCGTCTGTCCCAAAATTATACGTGCTGAATGAATACATGGAAAAAAATACAATTACGAGTTGTGATATTTTTGATTTATCTGCAACATCTGTTTTGGTCTAGACTTGATTATCCTCTGTTAGTCATGCAGGGACTAGATCCCTCTCTGCAATGCTGGTTATGGGAAGCTTCCCCAGTAATCACTGAACACTGGGTGTTACAGGATCAGATCAAAAAGTAACATTTCAGAATCTCTGTTGTATAGCCAGTCTAGGTGTCACCTTGCTGTAGCTCATGTACCTTCAGTCTTTTCTACACAGATAGTTGATGGAGATTTTTTTTCTGGGAAAATCACCATGTCTATATGAGCTTCCAGCTATTTCCTGGCCAAGGGAGCTAGTTTGGGACAGCAGTACAAATGATCGGGAACTGATGCTGTAACAACAAGGAGTCCTCTCCCACCATCAGGTGGCCTTTTTCTAGCCGTAGATTTTCTGAACATTGAAAGGGTATAAAAACCCATTACAAATATTTATATTTTTATGACATATTTCTTTGCTCTGATGTCCACAAAGTGTCATTTGAGTTTGACATACATATTTTCAAAGGTTGAACCCACATTTTCCTCTGGATAGAACTCTACATATTCGAGCTTAGTAAGCTTATTTATATATAATGAACTGTGCAAAATACATTGTGACAGACATTATGCAGACACAAAATACAAGAAATATTTTTTAGTATTGCATCACTTGTTTGATTTGGCACGGTGTCCATGTAAGAACTAAAATTACATTTAAAAAGTGAACAAACCTCAAGTCTTGTCCATTATCATCTGAAGATACATCATCAATATGAACCTGGTCACATTCCTAGAAAAGAAAAGGACAGGATGCAAAATAACTCACTTTTACCACATAGTGCAAATGAGCAGGCAAATAAAATCTCCATCTTGAAATGTTATTACATGCCTTTTAAAGCAGTAGGTGGCAGCCTTGTAAAATATCCACTTTACGTTTTAAGTGCCTTAAAAAAATCCAGCTGTCATTACATTTTACTGGCCTACGCATTCTTATTTAGAGCCCATTTTCAGTATTTACTAAGCTGCTACAAGCAATTAGCCTATGTGCTTTATAAGGGCCTCTTTGCTCTTTTAGGTACCTTAAAATATCTTACTGTTTAAAACAGACACAGTCAGTACTTAGTTTTTCAGTAATGTAACATGCTACAAAAATTAAACCCGATGCAAACCGCCAATGAAATTATGACCTCTGATTGCTGTTGAGCCACACACTAACACAGCCTGAGGCCAATGTTTCTGAAGAGAGTACACCAAAAAATCTGTTACTCGTTTTCCATTTATTTAAGACATGTGAGTTTTATTTATTTTGCCTTGGCTGGATAGAAAAAAAATGCTCAGATTCTGGAAATACGAAAAGCTCAGACCAGATCAGACACACTTTCATTTTTTTCCCCTTTTTGTTAAATAAGTGGGTTTAAAGTTATTTGGTGCTCGCACTCCCTACACAAAGAAGCCTTGTTACTGATATTTTTCTGTTGAGTATTTTACAGAATGGATGAATGAAATTAGAGCAATTTACTGTAAGGAATTCTCATTAATTTGTACTTGTTGATTACCAAGGTACACATAATTCAGTAGAAGCATGCTGGGCAAGATCATTAGAAAGTTTATTTACAGTGCTAAAGCAAACACTAGAGTACTGTGCACTTTGACACCACTTTGGCTATGTCATCATGTTCTATTGTGGACAGATGGACCTTAACACCTTCTGCCAACATTCTGCATTCAGGAAACCATAGAATGTTCATGATCAAAGCTAGGGTGAGAGCCAGGAGGGCAAATGAGACACATGCTGTAGGTAGATAATAGACTATACTTCATGAATCAGAGTGAATATGAGAACATTATTACAACAAGTTCTAAAGCTTAATTTCTTCACAGGATCAGGGTTCTTGCAGAATGCTACTTCCAAGATTACAGCACCAAGACTACCACAGGTAGCTGATGACAGTCTCCCAACACACCCCAAATTTTGGTTGCTGGTTGTATGTGCATCTCATATGTATGGATATCAACAGCCTATATTATGTTACTTGGCTAGAACTCCACCAGTCCATTACCTTCACTTAGAATGACAGGAATTGTGATGGACCAGTTACTGACAGGGGTTCTGATCAATTTGTGGTTAAGGTCTGTCACTGCCTCTAAAGCCTGCCTCTGATTGTTGACAGTCAACTAGGTCAATCAAAAGATCCAGGCCAACCTGGAAATGGATCATAACAGAAACTAAGGCCCTACGAACAAAAGGTAAATCTATTTTCTTTTTTCACAATCAGCACTGGAAAAAGTGTTCTTATTCCTTATCAGATACATAAGTTTACTGGATATCATTCAGTAAAAGCTGTATGTTTTAGACCAGCATATGAAAACTATGACAGTTGGAATAGGAAAGCAGGAGGACTGGTAGGATCACAACTTATTTCACACAAAAGAAGCAATCCATAGAAAACAGGATACTTTTTCAAAAGTACATGGTACAACAGACACATATCAAGAATGTGAAATGTTGGGGTAACATTCTTTAACCACCGCTTCCCGACAGCCCTATAACAGATATACTGCAACTGGGCGGCACGGGTGCACAAAATCATGTATATGCACGTGATTTTGCATTTCCGGGTAGGGGGTCGCATGCGGCCGCGGCTTTTAATCACCGGGTCCCGACTGGTGAATACTTGCTAGCGACTGGTGATTTCCGAGCATCTCCGACCGGGAGGAGAACTGTATGCAAACAATACAGTTCTCCTCCCTGTCAGTTTGTGCACACTGCTTTGGATGGCTGAGCAGCACAGCCATCCAAAGCAGTGTGCTTACAGTGAAGCACACACACACACACAGACACAAGTAAAACAGCACACAGTTAACCCTTTGATCGCCCCTCATGTTAACCCCTTCCTGCCCAGTGCCCTTAGTACAGTGTCAGCGCTTTTTTTTTTGCACTGATCACTGTATTGGTGTCACCGGGGATGTCAGTGACACCAAGTCAGTTCCTCCCAGTGTCAGAATGCCTACCGCAGTTCCACTATAAGTCGCTGATCGCCACCATTATTAGTAAAATAAAAACTGAAAAAAAAAAATTCCAGAATCTATACTGCCGTTTGTAAACGGTATAACTTTCACGTAAACTAATTAATTTACATGTATTGGGGTTTGTTTTAGCAAAGACATGTAGCAGAATACATTTTGGCCTACATTTATGATGAAATTTGATTTTTAAAATTTTTTTATTGGACATGTTTAATAGCAAAAAGTCAAAAATATTGTTTTTTTCTCAAAATTGTCGGCCTTTTTTTTTTTTAGAGCGCAAAAAATAAAAACCATACAGGCGATCAAATACCACCAAAAGAAAGCTCAATTTGTGCGAAAAAAAGGAGATGTAAATTTTCATTTGGGTGCATTGCATGACCGCGCAATTCGTCAGTTAAAGTAACGCAGCACTGTAACGCAAAAAGTGGCCTGGTCAGGAAGGGGGGTAAATCCTCTGGAGGGCAAGTGGTTAAGAGATTATTCTCACTTAACAGATTTACAAGCTTATTTACTAGTTTAAAATGTATTTTTGTCATCTTTCTCAGTTGTATTTTAGGTATGAGTGACCACTGTAGAGCTGGTATTAGGCCTCATGCACACAGAGTACTTGCTTTTCTTCTCTGAAAGCCAGAACTCCTGGCAAAAGCTGCTTAAAAAACGTGCCTAAAGCCGCATGGTGCACAAGCGTTTAGGCACGTTTAGACTTGTTTAGGTGCATCAAGGGTTTGAGCATCAATGGATTCCATTGGCTAGATCAGCCTTTCTCAACCAGGGTGCCCAGGCACCCTGGGTGCCTTGAGGTTTCTTTAGGGGTGCCTTGGCAAAATGTCTAGAAATTACCCAAAACTTGTATACAAGCCAGTGGGTGGACAGGCCTGCCTTTTAGTTAATAAATCACCTCTAATGTTGGGTGTCCTATGTAGATGTGTGTATGTGTGGATGTTGCTGCATTATAAAGACTATTAGAATAGTTTCTCATATTTTAGAATGGGATGCCCTTTTAAAATTATGGACAGTCTTGAGGCACCCTATTTTAGAATGGGGTGCCTTAAGACTGTCCATAATTTTAAAGGGTGCCTCTGGGCTACCCATAATTTTTAAAGGGTGCCTTGACTGAAAAAGGTTGGGAAACACTCAAATATGCCTAAACACATTCAGATTGTAGGTACGTTTAGATGTGTTTACATGATTTTAATTGCATTCAGTATTTTTCTGCTCTTCAGCTCCTCTCTTGAATGATGTTTTTTTTTTCTCAGCCTGTAAACGCTCCTCTTCTAATATGCCTATAAACACCTATGACAAATAGGTTAACATAGAGGTGATTTTACATGCTAAAAAAGAACAAGCCCAGTGTGCATGAGGTATTAATTATTATTATCTTCAATATTATAATCTGTATGTTTACACTTGATGTGATGTGTGATCCTTCCTCCAACCATTATTTGCTCAGAGCAAAAAATATATAAAATTGTATTTGGCTGCAGATTTTATGAAGTGTCTTGTAAATTATGATAACAGTCCAAAGTAATAAATCATGAAGATAAAATCCTACTTGCGGAGTTATTAAAAGACGATTTAGAAGGCCAATATATTTTGCAGCCCCATGCAGTGCCAGCATATTCCATGGTGTCAGGTACCTGTACTCCATAAACAAAGCCTACACTAAATACTGGGCACATGATATATTGCCAAACCTTTTACAAGACATTTTTCATCTTGAACATTCATCTGCATTAACAACCCTCAGTAGTTTCCAAAATGTTTTGGAAGCGTTCATTCCCTCTTACCTATCAGTGCAAAATAAATATTTAACATGTAGTTGATTTGCCTTCTGTGTACAATAAC